CCCCCCGCACTCCCCTTCTTCTTACTCCAGGTGGAACTGAACATACACCTTCCCTAGTCACACTCCCACCCCCAGGCCCCGGACGGAGGGAACAGCAGGAAGGTCCCGCATCAGGCCTAAAGCAAGGGAGCCCCGTGTGGACGCGGGAGCCAGACTGACAGCGTCCCCGTCCCAGGGTGTGGGTGACTCACGGGAACAAGGCCATGAGGTCAGGAAGCCAAGACAGCACTGCGTCCCTACTGCCCACAGCGACGGGGGCCCTGCAGCCTCGAGGAGGGGATTCAATGGCTCCAGAAACAAGCGGACACGCGGGGAGGGGAGCAGGCGGGCCTGGCACCGGTGGGCAGCAGTCCGTCCTTCAGTCCACCCAGCTCCCTTCCTGCACGGGGAATCACTGGGGGACTTAAAAGTGCCCTGGTGCCGTGTCCCCAGCCCTGGTCCGTTACACGAGGTCTCCGGGAAGAGCCAGGCGGCAATGTTGGGGAGACCGCCCAGGGCGGGGAAGGTGAGCGAGCGGGAGCCCAGAGGAGTGGCCCCCCCACCCCCCGGCACCCGGTGCCCTCCCCTGGGCCGGGGCTGAGGGACACGTTCCTCCCTGCAGCTTAATGAACTGTTTGTAAATTCTAAATCGACAGAGACAGCTTCCTTCCCAGTGACAATTCTGCCCCTAATTGATATTTGTTTTCCTCTGTTCCCAGAGGCAGCCTGGAAATGAGAAATCTCACCTGCGGTTAAGCTTGATCCTGGCCTAAGACCCTCTGGATCTGGGGGGCGGACTCAGGGGCCTCCCCTCTCTATCCCCCCAACCCTGCCCTTTCTCCTCTGCTGTGGCCCCCTCTTGGGAGGGGTGGATGCTGGCCTGGCTGACGGAACCCTCGAAGGTCTGCCCGTCCTTCAAAAACCCCGGCTCTTCCTTAAAGATGAAACTGTGTCCTCAAAGCCGGTCCCTGGAATGTTCTAGAGAGCCAGCTTCTTCTGAGGGACCCCTCCAGGGCCATTGTCTGGGAGCAGCGTGTGGCCCCGGGCATGTGGGAGGAGGAGTGGATATTCCCTGACTGAGCTGGGCTGGGTTCAGGGCAGGAAAGGGGGAGCCTCGGAGGAGCCCCCCCCATGATGGGGCCCAGCC